CCGAAGGCTGGGAGAGGTGCAGGGGGCACTGCCTCCTTCTTAGAGAGGGCCTGGGCTCAGCCACCCTCCCCCCACCCCCAGCTGAGTCTGCTAGGGGAGAGAGGGGGTGGGACGCAGCTGCCACTCACCCTAGCTCAGCCTGCCCTGCCTCCACACAGGCCTGGGGCTGTGAGCCCAATGCAGGGGTACCCGGAGCCAGATCCCACATTGGAGGCTTTTTGGTAATTGCCACTTTTCTCACTCTGAGGCGCAGGGGTGAGGGAGTTTGTGCGACGCCCACCCGCCACCTCCCAGGCAACTGGCTCCGCTCTGCTCCGCAGCCCTAGATAGGATCCCAAGACCCGACCAATCCTTGTTTTATGAAAGAAAAAGCCTAGGTCTCCAGAATCTGGCCTAGGAGTCGGAAAGTGAAACCGATAAACCCACTTGTCCAGCCCCTCCGCAGGATCCAGGGCGAGTCGTGTGCGCGCGCACGTGTGGCGGGTGTGCTCTGTGTGCGCGTGCTGCGGCCGTGTGCGGGCCGCAGGTGTCGTGGGAGTGCGTATCTGAGTGTCCGTGCGTGTGTGTTACGCGCGGTGCTGTGCGCGCCCGTGCACACACTCGCTTCGCTGTTCCCAGCTCGATGCCCGTCCTGCTCCCGCCCAGACCGGGAGTCTCCGGCTCCCACCCAGACTTGGGCGGCACGCCGCTGTTTCCCTGCCTGGGTCTGAGAGGGTCTGAAGACCCGGGCTGAGCGGACTTCGTTCCCGGCATGGCAAATTCGTTGCAGCCGGGTTGGTCTCCCGCCTGCTCACCGCATTCCCCCGCGGCGCTTGGCGCGCCAGCCCGCGATCTGTCCACCCGGGTCCGGTGCGGGTCCCTCCCTCAGGTCCAACGGGTGCGCGGTTGGGGCACCCAGCGGAGAACTCCCGCGCCCCTGGCCACCGAGGCCCGCGCCTACGCCATCGAGGCCCCGACCCCGAGTCACTTCCAGCTCCGGGCTCGGCCCAGTTTAGCGCCGCGTGGTTTCTTGGCTGCGCAGAGCGCCTCCGCCTCAACTTCGAAACCGCCCCGGCTCTGGTTGACCGTTTTATTTGGGGGGAGGGGAATCTTGATCAAAGAATTGCTCAATTTTGTTTTCAGCGTGCTTGGTGACTTCACACACGTGTGTACTTAAAACGTCTCAGCCGATCTCAAAAAGAAAGACTGTTCCCGGAGCGAGGCTGCAAAAACCAGGACCAATCCGGGAGAGCGACGCTGAGGTCGGAGCCGGAGCCCCTCGTGGGGGAGGGGGCTGTCCCACTGCCCAGGTCGCGGTGGCCTCGGCTCTCCCCTCTGCCCCGGGAGCTCCTCCCGACTCTGGGAAAATGAGGCAGGAACTCCAGCCACCCAGAAAGCTCTCATCGGGGAGCGGAGGTGAGAGCGTAAGGGAGCGCGCGCGGCCGCGCTGGCAGGGGCCTCGGTGCTTAGGGTGGCGCCCGGCTCGCGCCAGCGCTGGTTAAATGCTCGATCCGAAAGAAGAAAAGCGACACAAAGATTCCACGGAAAAGTCAACTCGGAGGGAGTGCGCAGGCTCCGGCAGATGGCCCTTCCCTTCCCCAGGCCTCGCTGAACCGGAGGCTCCGTCCGCCGCCACGCACCGGCAGGCTCAGGCCACAAGCTGCTTCCTTTCCCTTCACCCTCGTGCCAAACCGAATTGTTCGCGAAGTTTCCCCAAGCCGAGTTACTAAGAAAGGCCCAGCCAAATGGAATTCAAAGCCCACTGAGAACAGACAAAACTAAACTGAAATTTCGTTTGGTGATGGGAGATAGGCTGCCAGGTGGGGTGGAGGCGAGCCGGCGCGGATAGTCCCGGAACGGCCGCCGAGCACTAGCACAGGGGTCACGGTCGAAGCGCATTTCCGAGGACACAGATCCGTGCAGGTGCCGCTCCAAGCTGCTGGCCTTGGCTCCTGACTTAAGGCACAGACGCGGGAGGCGGGCACCGAACAAAGCACTGCCACAGGCGGCAGAGCACCCTGCGCGTTTGGAGTGCCGGTTCCGACGGAATTCCTGCTACTGGGAGGCTCGCAACTTGGGTTAACCTCCAGCAAGGAACGCATCCCCCTCCCCCATCCCGCACCGCGTAGGTTTTTGTATGAAACCAGATCGGGTGGGATGTCCCTTTGCCCAGCTACCGGCGAAGAGAGCCCGCGCCGTGCACGGCGTGGGTCAGGTCCAGCCGTCAGTGCAGTGTCCCCACCTCAGACCCCACAGTCTGCCCCCAGGGCTTCGCTCGGTGCCTGGGTCCTCCTTTCGGAGAGCTGTTGGGTTCTCTGCTCTGCTTTCCGGCTTTTGTCGGGAGCCCGGGAATGAAGGTTTGGCTGACACAAGAGAGTTGGTTTTGTCTGTCTGCGTGCCTGCCTCTCCCCTTTCTCCCCCCTCCCCCACTCCCTCCTCGGTTTTATTATGTTTTGAGATTTGGCTTTTTGCAAGTCATCATAAAGCAAGTGACAAAAGCTTGGCGTTCTTACTTCAGCCCTGTCCTTTTATCCTTTCTGGATAAGCTAGTTTCAGGGACTGAGAAATGCCTAAACCAACGTATCACAGCCAGCAACTTGGTGGCGGAGCCGGGACTGAAATCCAGGCCTCTGGTCTCCCAGGCGAGCCCTGCTTGCTTTGGGATCAAATGCAGACTCACTGCCCCTCCTGGCCCCCTCCCCAGCACTTCCCCCTTTCCTGGGGTGGGCCTGATGGCGCTCCTCCCGGGAGGAGTCCAGCTTTGGAGGGAAAGCCCCCATCACCTGCTCCAGCCCCACACCTTTTGGAGTGTGGGAGGGGGAGCCCGTGGGAGGGAGGCCCTGGCACAGAGTGGGCTGTCTTCACTCCCAGGTTAGTGCCTACTCAGCAGAGTTTTCTGTGAAAATGCACAGAGCCTGAATGCTGCCTTTGATAGAACAGGGTGTTTCCTGCTGCTGCATACAGGTGAGACTCCTGCCTGAGCTCAGAGAAGTCCTGAGAGCTCACAGGAAACACAGACCACGGAGGTCCTGGCTTTGCAGGAAGCCCAAGACCAACCGCTGTGGATGCCTGCCAGAAAACCCACCCGTACCCCTCCTTGCTAGGTCCAGCCCAGAAAGGACCTGGGTGCCTGGCACTGGGAGGAAGTGGCCTGCCACTCAGCCTTCCAGTGCCAGCTCAAATGAACCTCCTCTGGGAAATCATCCCTGGCAGCCCACCCTTTCTCATGCCCTGCAGAGGCCACCCTGGGACCCCGCCAGGACAGTGTCCTATGATGGTAGCAGAAAGGAAGGTTTGGACAGATACTCACAGGTTCCCAGCCCTGCTCTAAGGAGATGGTGGCGGGGTTGGAGTTCGGGGCAAGAAGGGGAGAGGTGGCCCCACGAGAGATGGCATTTCTCCACTGAGCAACCCCCGTACCCTGTGGGATAAAAGGAGAGTGGGTGTTCCAACAGCCCAAAGGACGGGACCCTCCTGCAAAGCTGCTTCTTCCAAGCTCCCAGACTTCCGGGTGGAGAGCTCCAATCTGTCCATTCACGGGGAACCCAGACTTCCCCTCCCTCCCTCAGCACATGACCCTGAATTTTAATCACCCCTGCACATTCTTGTGATTTTCTGTCTCTCCAAGGAGATTTGGGGCTGGCCACCACCCAGTGCCTTCCATCTCTCTCTCTCTCTCTTTCTCTCTGACCATTTTCCTTTTCTACCCTCCCAAATCTGTGACTGCTCCCTTCACTCTCTGCCCTGATAATGAAAGCGTGCACGTGTGCGAACATTAACATCCCCGACAAGCTGCACACTCAAGTGGGCAAAAGCCGTGAGTAAAGGCCGGGGAATCTGCCAGCCCTGGTGCGAAGCAGCTGAGATGTGTGTGCACAGGTACCGGTCAGAGCGTCAGTACTGTACATAAACGTTCCTATGCTTGGGTTTTCTGTACTTTTGAGTGTGTACACCAGAGTTGACTTGGGCATAGTGCTTTTATTCAGCCAGGCTGCTGTTCACCTTTGGGTATGTAGATGTGTACAGTCTGCTACAACTTGCAGCTTGCAAATCCATCCATTCACAGAGGGGATACTAGGGTGAGCAGCGCTGTGGACACCTATATGTTGGTACATGCGAGTGCATATGTTGTATGAGTCGTGTGTGGTCGTGTACCTGCGGCAACAGATGCTCATATGCGCGTATGTCCATCAAGGCCTTGGGCAGGTTGAGAGGCGCACACAGCCTGGAAAATAAGGCCAGGGAGACCCGCCCGCCCAGTTTCCTGTGCCCTCCCAGGAGCCATCAAACTAAGACTCATCTCCCACTCCCGGATTTTGTCCGGGGTCACGCAAGGCCTCAGCCTCCCGCGGCGCCAAGAGAGGCGGGGTGCCACACGGGCAGAAGCCCAGACGGCAGATCCCTCCTGCAGCCTCGGGGGCCAGCCCGAGCTGCGGTGTCGCAACCACACCGGGGCCCCTGCCGGAAGCGGAAGCCGGCCGGGGAGGGGGCGGGAGTCGCTGCGGCGGCGGTCTCGGCATGCCAGGCCCGGGGCGCCCCGCGGGGGCATGCGCGCCACGCGCGTGCGGGGCCGGCTGGGCGCCGGGCGGCACCCTCCCAGCTCCGCGTCTGTTTACCAACAAAGTGCCGGCGCTCGGCGGCGACGCATTCCGACGCGCTGAATAAGCCGCCGGCGCGGGCCGCGGCTGCGACTCCCCAGCAGGTCGGTGGCGATGGCACCAGGATCAGCGCGCCGATCCCACGAACGCGGGCTTGTGGCGTCCCGGCAGCCGCCGTGCCTCGCCCACTGTGCAGCTCCCCTCGCCCCTTGCGCATTCCAGGCCGGCGACTCCCTAGCGTTTCTGCCACCGTTACCGAGGTTCCCAACTGCACCCCTCTCCGAGAAGCTAAATGCGCCCGGAGCGCACGCATTGTCCCCCTCCCTTTTCCCCACCAAGGGCTGCCCCGGGGGCGGGTCCCAGCGCCGGGCCTCCGTGAGGTCACCGCTAGCCGCAGCCAATCCGTGGCGTTCAAGTGGGCGGGGCCCCCGTCGGGGCCCGGGAGCCGAACTGGATGCAGAGGAGGGGGTGCCCTATGAATTTAGGGGGGTGGGGGAAGCCATGGGGGGTACCCACCCGGAACCCCTTTCCCAGGCGCGCCCTCTCCGCTGGAAGAGGCTCAGAGAGACACTTGCCCCAGGATCTTAAGTGTGGGGGCGGCTGCCTGGGGGTCTTGTCCGGCCTAACGCCTCAGGCTCGGGAGAGTTGGCGGCGGGAACGAAGGACGTGCGGGGCCATGGCCTAGGCCCCTGGGCTTCGGCTCGGGCCGCAATGACCTCTTTGCCCTGCCCCCTCCCTGGCCGGGACGCCTCCAAAGCTGTCTTCCCGGACCTCTCCCCCCTCCCGTCGCTTGGCCTCCTGCCCGCAACCACAGCCTCCCCCGATTTGCCCTATTCCGGCCCGTACGGCCACCTCCTGTCTTACCCCTACACCGGGCCGGCCACCCCCAGCGACTCCTACCTGCCCTGCCAGCAGCCCGCGGCGCCCGCTCAGCCGCTTTGCGGCCCCGCCGAGCACCCGCAGGAACCGAAGGCAGGTAAGTGCGACCGCGGCGGCTCGCCCACCTGTGGGGTCTCGCTCCTGTGCGCCCCGGAATTTCGCCCTCGCCTGGCTGGACGCTGCTTGCGGGATTCAAACCTTGCTCGAATTCACGAGTAGGGGGAGGGTAACGGGATAGGCGGGAGACGGGGTGGGGGGGCGGTAGGAGGGGCGGGGGCGAGTCGGTCTCGATCTCCTTTCCAAACCGACCTGGTTTCGATTTGCAGCCGCGTGAAAGCCGGCGGCGTGAGGGCTCCCCCTCCCCCAGCAGCCGGGCTGTGTGCACCCTCGTGTAACGGAACACTGAAGCAGTGCAGCTGTGGGGGTGGGCGCCCAGCCTCCCGCCCCTGCCTTCCCTCCCTTCCCCAGGTCGACCCGCTGCGCGTTGGTCTGGTTTTAGAAAGGAGTGCTCGGGCCAAACCCTGAGACACAGAACCGCAATCTTTGCTCTCCCTTGCCGCACCGGCGGGCTCGCAGACCTGCGCATGACCTGGACCCCCACCCTGGCCTGGCAGAATTTGGGGCATCGGGCCCCACCATGCATTGCTCTCAGAATGTAGCCACAGGCTGGGAAAGCGGCTCTGGTCTCTCCAAGGCCACCTCAGCCTTCCCGCTGTCATTTCCACCCCCTTGCCTTAGTACTTGGGTCTCTAGTTCCCATTGCCTGGAGCCAAATTGAGCTCCTGAAACAGTGCTCCCTGAGAGGCCTCAAAGAAGTCTAAGAGCTGGCCTCTGTTCCCGGCACTGGGCTCCAGGCCGCCAGCTTCCGCCTGCCCCATTGTACACATGCAGGAGTGCTTGGTAAACTCTTGGAGATGTTTTCTTGTGTTCCACTTCCCACAGCCATCTCGCTGGCTCCAGCTTAGACGGCAGGGCTCCTACACTCCGTGCCCTGCACCTCGCTGTGCACCTCCACTCTATGGCTGCACACCACCCACCCGGTGACTTGGGGCCAGCCAGTCCAGGACCCAGCGGTCCCTTCTCTCTCCCCGGTCACTCTGATGCATGGTCACAGCCAGGAGTGCCTCTAGGATTGGGGAGCTTCCCTTAAATTGTACACAAGGAGGAGCCGAGGGAGGCCTACAGGCAGGATGTGCAGGGGTCAAGGACCCGCCTGCTTTCCAGGCTCCCGGCCCTGGCCCATCAGCATCAAGGCAGGAGAGCAGGAAAGAGGATTTTTAGGTTTAGGTTTTCCCCCAGCGCCCCGGGAAAGGTTGGTTAACTGCCTTTTGTGGCAGAGCTGGGGCTGCCTCCGCAGGCTGTTGGAGAGGACGGGCAGTGCGAGGAGAACCACGGGATAAGTTTGCACAAAAGGAACCTTCCCCTAGGTATAGGCGAGTTTGGTGTGTTGTGTGTGTGTGTTTGGGGAGCGGCTTGGAGATAACACGACCTTGCCCTTCAGAGACGCATTGGCTGTGGGGTAGGTGGTGGCGTCCTGTCTTACACCTCCCCTTTGTTCGGTGTAAGGACGGCGCAATGGGGAGTCAGGTTGCTCGGCAGACTTTCCCGGGTCCAGCGAAGCACCGCACGGACACACAGCAGTCCCTGGATCGGCCAGGGGCAATTTCTTCGCCAAACTAGGGTGCTGGGCCCATTCTAGCATGAATGATGGGGATGTGACAGAGCTTGGGGGTCCTTCTTTTAGCCCCAGTCTGTGTCCACCCCAGCCTCAGGGAAAGGTTTAGCTCCAAGTGAGCGGAGCCCAAACCGTCCAGCATTTGTGCCTGGAGGGAGGCCCTGGGGCTCCCTTATCTTGACAGGGCAGATCCAGTTGTGACTTGCTGCAACTGGTGCGACGGGCGGCAGACTTCGAGGGGGTCTCGTCCTGGAGTTCAGAAGTGAGGGTTTGCCCCGATGGTGCCAGAGAGGCACGGTGGTCGCCCGAGGAGCAGCCAAGCCCGGAGTTTAGAGCAGTGGCGTGGAAGGGACAGGCGCGGGCGGGAGCGGAAGCCCAATGGCTTTTCTGGGAATTGGCTGAGGCAGGGGTCGAACGGGGTGGATCTGAGAAGCCCGCAGCGCCTGGGGCCTGGGTGAGGGATACGGGGGAGGTGAAGGCAACTGGAAACCGCGCTGGGGACCTGGCTGTTTAGGGAGGGAGAGGGCGTGCTGTCGGCTGGGGCAACGGTGGGGCTCGCCCGTGTGGGACGCGGTGCACGCTGCCCTCAGCCTGCCCGCGGTTCCACCGTTTCACGCACTCCACTCCCGTCCGCCTGAGACAGTCTTTGGGGTCCCCTGGAGTGGCACAGGTTTGGGGAAGAGTGGACCCCCGCCCCCACACTCTGGGGCATCAGGCTGTCCACAACTGAGGGCCGTGGAGAGAGCGAGGCGGGCAGGTAGTGACCGGCTCTCACCGTCCTGGCCCCCAGGGATCCCCAGTGCGCGGGGATCAGTGGAGGATGGGGCCGCCCCCGGCATCTGGAGTCCCTGACCACCGGGTCCTGTGAGCCAGCTGTCATTTTTCCTGCAGGGTGCGCCTCGGGAGAGGGCTGGCCCGTTCCAGCGGGCGAGGCCACGGCAAACCCTGGGGGGGTCACTTTCCACGCTCTGACACTGGCCTTCGAGGCCCGCAAGGCTGAGCCTCTCTGACTCATTCCCATCTCGGCAGCCGGAGGGTGCCACGCGGACACTCTCTGGGGCCTCTGAGCTTTGACTTTGCCTCCGTGCGCCTGGAGTGCCCTGCCCCCATCCTCTGTGAACCTCAGCCCGGCCCCGCCCCACCCCAGGCCGGCTGCTCGGCACCCTGGCTGAACTCCGACCTCGCACCGGGGATGCCCCGTACCCTGGCTCTGGTTCTTGGCACTGCAGACCCAGGGCAGATGAGGCTCTGTAACCGTCCTACCCATTGCCATCCCCCCACACGCTGTCTGTGCTGCTCCCCCAGACTCAAAGCCGCCGCTGTCCCTGGAGTCCTCGGAGCCCTCAGAGCGAAGCCGGCAGGGCCCGGCCAAGAAGCTGCGCAAGCCCAGGACCATCTACTCGAGCCTGCAGCTGCAGCACCTGAACCAGCGTTTCCAGCACACGCAGTACCTGGCGCTGCCCGAGAGGGCCCAGCTGGCAGCACAGCTCGGCCTCACCCAGACCCAGGTGGGGCCAGTCCCATCCCTGCGGAGCTAACCCGCCCCGGGTGTGCTCTAGGAACTCACAGGCCCCCGGCCCCGATGTCACACTCCTCCAGGGAGTGTTCAGAGTGGGGGACACGGGTTAAAAGGCAGGACATGAGGTGCAGGAGGGTACGCCAGGCAGGGAGCACCGGCTGCCAGCTCAGAGGCGGGAGCTCAGGGGACCCCCGGCGCTGCGGAGGACTCAGCTAGTGCTCCCCAGCCTCTGCTCCCTGTGCCTGGGTCTGTTTGCCTTCGGTGGAACCCTTCCAGGCACACACTCCTCATCTCTCATTCTCTCCTCCTTTCTCCTCAAAGGTAAAGATCTGGTTTCAGAACAAACGCTCCAAATACAAGAAGCTCCTGAAGCAGAACTCTGGGGCACAGGAAGGGGACTTCCCCGGGAGACCCCCTTCCCTGTCTCCCTGCTCCCCACCCCTTCCATCCCTCTGGGATATGCCCAAGGCAGGAGCCCTGCCCGAGGCCGGTGGCTATGGCAACAGCTTTGGAGCTTGGTATCAGCATCACTCCGCAGATGTCCTGGCTCCACCCCAGATGATGTGAGTCCCAGGAAGGGTGGGTCACGCCCCCAGCCTCCTACAAAGCCCAGGACCCTGCCCACCTGCACCCCTCTGGGCCGGGAGGAAACCAGCTCCAGATGGGTTTTCTCGGGGGAGGAGGAGCTAGAGGAGGAAAAGAGGTGGGTGGAGTTCTGTCCCCCTGACCCAAACAGCTAAATCAAAGACGTAACTACTGCTCCCCCCAACACCGTGGACTGGACACCTTCCCTCCAGCTGGACCAAGGCTCAGGTGAGAGTCCTGCAGCTCTCCCTGCCCCTCCTCCCCCAAGAAAGGACTGCAGCCCCCACCCCCACCCCCACCCCCACTCCAGCCTGGGGGTGAAACCAGGAGGCAACTTGGAGTATTTTTCCAGTGTGTGTGCCTTGGGCTTTGCCCAGCCCATTTGTGAACAAAAGCAAGGCGGCCATCCACAGCCCTCACAGTTAGACACTACGGGTTCCACCCAGCCACACACTAATTTGCCTGGTGGTCAGCCCATGAGTCCCACCCCCAGTAGCTCTCCGGATGAGGATGCTGGGCCACGGGCCTCCTGAAACAGACCGCCCTCCCCGAGTCTCCCTGTTGGAGTAGATACTGGATCCCGTTGTCTGCGATTCACCGGGTATTTATGAAGAGTCCATGCCCCCTCACCCCAGCCTGACAGCTGTCAGACCCCTGTGCGCACCTCTTGGAAACCCAGGAGGGTGACACTTTGGGGGACCTGAGGACAAGCAGGCTGCAGGTGCAGGCACTCCGGAGTGGGCACAGGGCCCCAGCACTTTGGCCTCTCCCAGTCTCTGCCCGAAGGAACTGCTCAGAGACATAACCTACCTGACTAGCATCCATCAGCTCTCAGATGTGAGCTGGCCAAAATTAAAGTTTGTACCAAAACCTAGGCCCTGGATTGGAGGTGTGTCTGTCTCCTGATTTCCTCTCCCAGACTGACTTATCCTCCCCTGAGCCAGCACTCAGAGGCAGTGGGTTCTGGCTACACCTATGCCACTGGCTTGCTCTGCGATTCTAGCTCTGGAACCTTCTAGCATCGCCCATACTGTCACATGCTGCAGTGTAAAACAAAAGATGCTCACGCTGGGAATGACCAAGGAAGGCCTGAGTGATCCTTGCTGGCAAATTCTCTCCTGGCCCAGTTCTGGAGGGAGCTAGGTACTGCCCCACCAACAGTGGGGGAGAAACCCTGCTCTCCTCCGGGAGAAGACACGCCCACTGAGCCACTCAGCCCACCTGGGGGAAGTAGAATGGCCTCAGCCCCACCATGGTGGGGAGGGGGAGGGAGGAAAACCCGAGAAGGGACTAGAATTCTCCATCCAACACGCATTTGTACAGCCTCTGCTCTGTGTTAGTTCCGGGGATACCAAGGCAGATGCCCCAGGCTAACAGGGAGCCAGAAAAATGAACAGTCATTTGTGTGGCAAGGGCAGAACCAGGGCTCCCCACCACACAGACGGCACCCCAGGGGCTAGGGGAGCTGTGGGGGAGGTCAGAGCACCAGGGCCAGGAATAATCCAGGGAATCCAGCTCAGCGTGGCCCCAGGGGGTGGGGGAGGGGCTCCAGTTCTAGGCAAAAAGCTCCCAAGAGTTGAATGATTTCCCTCCTCCTGCCTAAACCTGTTCTTGGGACTGCAACTGGGGGCTGTCTCCCTCTGAGTCCAAAGCCCACTCAGGCACTGCTAGGAAAGCCCAAATTGGGGTTACATGTAGGACAGAGGGGGTGCAATGTTCCCTGGAAGCCGCCACCTCCGGACCCCCGCAGCCAGCCCCTCCTCTCCTTGCGCCCTGTCAGTGGCTGCCCCCTACCCCGCAAAACACAGGCAGAGGGGTCTCTCGGGGATGCAGATGACACAGATGGGCCAAAGCAGTGATGCAAGGAACTCCAAGAAACTGAGGGTACCCAGAGGAGAGGCACCGCCCCGTTCCTTCCCCCTATTCCTGCCCCGCCCCCCTCACCCCATCTCCACCAACCGTTGTCTGTCCGTGGCCGGGGCCGGGTTCCTTACCTGGGTCTCTGCTGAGGCCACAAGCCCTCAGGGCAGCTGTTCCCTCCCAGTGCAGGTTGCACACTCCCCTTTCCACAGTCCTGAGATAAGATCTACCGCCCATCTCGGAAAGCCTCCAAAGGCGAGATTAATTGGACAGCCCAACACGAGTCGCATCGTTAAAACAACAGCCCAGGTTGTAAAGTTGCGAAGCAGCAGGAGTGTAATTACTCTCCCAGCCAGAGGCCAGCGGAGCTGACTGCGCAGTGTGTGTGTTGGGGGGAGCTTCTTTACCCCCATCACCCTTTCCGGGGGAGAGGGGAACAGGAATCTCTTTTCCACTTGGGAGTTGGGCCAGTTCCCCTGGGATTCCGGGAGCCCCAGTGGAGGAGACGCCCCACACCCTGGAAGAAGCCCTGCTGGGAAAATTGGGTCTGCAGGGAGGGAGGGGGAACCAGACAGTCCCAGCCCTGCTGCCTGCTAGCTGTGTGACTTTGGGCAGGATACTGAACCTCTCTGAGATTTCGTGTCCTGCCCTCTAAGACAGGAATACTAATAGCGCTTGTTTCGCAGGGTGGTGGTGGTGATGAAATGGGATAGTGCTTGTAACACGCTTGACACGGTGCCTGGGTCGCGGTAAGCGCTGAGCAGATGGCGGCGTTCACGGCCGCATTTTTGATTATCAGGGAGGGGAGGGGTTAGGGAGGAGGTGAGTCCACGCTGCCATCCATCCATTCACCTCTCGCCTCTGGCAGACCCGCCGCCCACGGGACTGGAGGCGGGACTCTGCGCACGCCAGACTGCGCCCTGGAAGAGGCCAGAAAACGGGGACCTGCCCTGGCGGACGTCCCAGACACACGCTGGTACCTCTGAGGGGTCAGCCACACCCGGAAAGGGACTGGGGCGTCCCTCCTGCCGGGGTCACTGGCCTCCCCTCTCCCGTAGACTATTTCAAGACCTGCTCCCCATTCGCTCCCCCAACGAAATGAGATTCAATTAATTCAATTAAAGCAATTTTGGAAGCAGCTCCTGAAGGCTTTCAATGTGAGATAATTACAAGTAATTTGCTGCCGCGAAGAGGCAAAGGGCACCCGGGGTCTGGGGGAGACGGGGTGGCCCCCTCCCCACCCAGCGCAGGCGGCTCTGGAGGGACTCGGCACTGCAATCTTTAACTGCCCTCCTATTGGCCAAATTACTTGCAGGTGGGAAGAGGGAGACTGGGGGTGGCGGGGGAGACACGGGAGTGACAGAAGGCCCCTCCTCCACCCCAAATCCGTTGTGCGGGGTGGGGGTGGGCAGCTGGTGGTTCCCGACAAAATGTCTGCATAGCCACAGCAGCTGATTACTCAGCTCCAACCCTCATTCGAGCTTGGATGCCTGGACTTGCCCTTGGGATTGAATCCAGAGGCAATGGAATGTTATCCGGGTAGCTGAGGCCTGTGTAGACGGGGCCTTGGAGATCAAGGACTTCCCCCAGAACTTAGGAGGGATATGGGGGGGGGGGCGAGAGGAGGATGACAGTGACTTCCTGTTTCCAAGGAGCTGATGAGACCCTTCTCTTTCCCCTCGCCCAGCTCTGCCTGGTCTCTCATCTCAATGCCTCCCTGATGCTGGTGGCAGATCTCTCTGGGATTTCGGTCCTGGGGTGGGGGCAGGGGGCTGAAGCCTGTGCCTTCCCCAAGGCATCCTACAGGTATTTTCTACCCTCTCCTGCGGTAACCCTTTCCTTGCCAGGTCTCTCTTGGCCTGGGAGGAAACAGAAGGGAGTGGTGATGGAGTTGAGAGGGAAAAGAGGTAGAAGCTGGAGGCAGGGGCTGAGGCCGGGTGGAGATGGGCTTCCAGCCTCTGCAGAGATCTTGTGCCTGCCCACAAAGGAGCTGGCTTTTAAGGGCCTAGGTCCTTCTTTACCTGGGAGCCCCTGTTCCAGATGAGAAACATTTCAGAGGGGCCAGCGTCCTGACACAGTGGGTTAAGCTGATGCTCGCGATGCCGGCATCCTGTATTACAGTGTAGGTTCCAGGGCTGGGTGCCCCACCTGCGATTCAGCTCCCTGCTCGCGCACCTGGGAGGCAGGGGAAGATGGACCCCTATGGAGTTGCTGGCTCCTGGCTTCAGCCCGCACCAGCCCCAGCCATTGCAGCCATTTGGGGAGTGAACCAGCGCATGGAAGATCTCTCTCTGCCATCGCTCTGCCTTCCAAATAGATAAATATCTTGTTTTTAAATGGTGATCAAAGAGAAAAGGTCTTTGATCCAAAGTATTCCTCTTCCCCCCTTGCCTGCTCCGGCTCCTCTCAATCCGGCAGGGGTGAAGGGGAGGGGTTCTCCCAGTTCTTTTGCCCCAGCCCTTCTCTGAACCCCTTAGCTCTTGGACCTGGGGGACCCCGGGGTGGGGGAGTTCCATCAGAGTCCCTGGGCTCCTGCTGGCCCCTCTCTTCCAAGATGAAACGCTTCCAGGGACAAGAGTGGCCTCCTAGCCATGCCTCCCCTTCCCCCTTTCCTGACAGTCATAAAGGAGGCCCACAGCTCAATATGCAAATGCTCCCCCTCCCCCAGATGCTGGACCCAACCACGCAGGCACCTGGACAAGATACCTGCGCAAGTATTGCACAGAGGCTGCACAGGCAGGCAGGCACCCGGGGGAGGCAGCGCTGCCCAGAAACACACAGTGCTGTGTGCATGAGGCAGCCCATGGCTGTGCCCGGATCATACACAGGGCAATGCACTCGCTGGCCTTGACTCTCAAGAACCAGATGCCCAGGGGCTTAAATCTAGGCGGACACAGACAGAAGCACACATGGAAATACACACATTAGGGGTGGGAGTTTGGCATGGCAGTTAAGACGCTGTTTGGGACGCCTGCATCCCACATGAGAGCGCCTGGGTTCAAGTCTCAGCTCAGCTGCCAATTCCAGCTTCCTGCTAACGTACACCCTGGGAGGCAGCAGGTGCCGGCTCCAGCAGCTGGCATCCCTAACTGCCACATGTGAGACCTGGCTTGAGTTCCTGGTTCCTGGCTTCAGGAATGAGCCAAAGGATGGGATCTCTCTCTCTCTCTCTCTCTTTCAAATTCATCAATTATTTAAATAAAAATTTCAAAAAGAATAGACTGGCACCCCTGTGTGTGAGCACAGGCGTTGAGGGAACAGACCTCACCGCTTCCCTCCTGTTTTCGGGGAATACTTCCCGGGTGAGCAGCCAGCAGCCCAGGTTTGTTATGAAGACTTGATTTCTTTTGTCTCACCCCCCACCCCACCCCTCCAAGGCCTTGCCTGCTCCTCTCACTAGGAGAGCTCATGTCCCCCGCCCTGCCCGGCACATCCCACTGCTCCCAGGTGTGGCCACAGGTCCAGCTCTGCCTCAGGATCCTGAAGGCTGGCTAAAGGGGGGCTTAGGCGGCCCCACCTTGGACATCTTTGCTGATCCCTCCGCTCCTCTGCCCTGACAGGCACCCAGGGAAGCAGGAGGGGGCCAGGGATCACAGGGTGGTGAGGGCAGCACTGTTTTGGAAGGCAAAGATCTGGATCTGCTTGCTATGTGACTTTGGGCAAGTTGCATCCCCTCTCTGAACTCAGATAATCTCTCCTGCTAAGTCTTGGCAGTGGCAGTGAGGGAGGGTGCATTAATGTGTGTCTATTAGCACTTCCCACTCCAGTCTTGTAAGGCAGACCCTGCCTCTCCCATCAGGTTCTGCCTCCCCCCCCCCCCCCCCCGTCGGATTGGATGCAACCCGCAGCTCCTTCCACCCCCATGCTCTGAGGATGGGAGGATACATCCTGGGGGTTTTCCTGGGGGTGGGGGCATGTCTGGCCAGCAGAGTTGGCCCAAGCTTCCTCCACACTCCAAGCTTTCTGATTCAGCGCCTCGCAGTACCCCGGCCTGGAGGAGATGACTTCATAGCC